ATGACGGGTCGTTACACTTGTCAAAATCCATTCATTACTAAGAAAGATACCATTTGAATTTTTGAAAGAATAAAATAGCTATTATTTTAATCTAATAAGAACATTTTGAATAAGTTCTATTTGTTCATTTAAGTCTTTAAAAATGTAAGAAAAAATTTAACTCTAAAAATAATTACTTATTATTTTAATATTTAAATTAACATTAATATTATCAATTAAAACATGTATATCTTAAAATTTTTAACTAAAACCAATATTATTTAAAACTTTAAGCAACTCTTTTGAATTTTGATAATCAAAAGTGTTTCCGAATCAAGTGACATACAATTTCATGATCCAAATGATTTTTTAGCCGGAGACAAATGTACTCATATAAGTGTGGTACAATTTTCTCACTAACTTTTTAGTTTTATTTAATATAAGCATAAATATAATTAAAAATTATTTTATAATTTTATACATAATAAAAATAATTTATAATTTGAATAGTGTTCCCATAAATTTATATAATTTTATTCTCTTCAATTTTTCAATTAGATATTTTAAATACTTGTGTATTATTGTTATTGTTAGTCATACTTTATGCACTATTTTAACTAATAGTAAAAAAAATATCTCTTAATTATTCATTTCAAATTATATTTGTTTTATATTTTTATTTAAATTTATTTATTTTATCATATATCTCTTTCACTATATCATCTGTTATTTTTATCAATAAATTTTAATATTTTTTAAATTATAAATAGTTAAAATATTTTTTTTTTATTTTTAACAATAAATTTCAATATTTTAAAATTATGAATAATTAAAAATAATTTTATATTATAATTTAAATTGTTCATCATAAATTTAAAATTATATGCTTAATTAAATATATTTATTTATTATGAACTAGTAATAGTATAAGTTGATTCAGAAAAGTTACTGTATAACTTGTATATTATCACAATTCATCGCTAAATAAAAAAAAATGTTTGTGACGGATTTTGTGACGAAATGAACTTCATCTCTAAAAAATCCGTCACAAATTTCGTCACTAAATAAAAAAAAATTAGTGACAAATTTTTCCCTCTCAAAATTCCGTCACAAATAGGTTAAAATATTTTGTGAAAAAGTTTGTGAGGAATTGTTCCCTCTCAAAATATTAAATTTTATTTATGAAACTTTTATATTTAAGAATTATGCATAATTAAAGAAAATATTATAAATATTTTTTTAAAAAATAATAAAATTAAAAATATTTTATTTTATTAAAGGACTGAAAAAATTATGAAATTTATTTGATTAAATAAAAATTTGTCAATTTTGAGCATAAGAAATTAAGACATTCATTAAAAATATTTAAAAAAAACTTGTGAAATTAAAAAAAAAAGAGTATTAATTTAATTTTGGCTTAATTACATTTTTGATCCCTCAAGTATTGTAATTGTGCAATTTTGATCCCTAAGGTTTTAATTGGATAATTTTAGTCCCTAAAGAATTGTAATTGTGCAATTTTAGTTCTTTAATTTTTAATTGAACAATTTTAGTCCCTCAAAAATCATAATTGTGCAATTTGAATCTCTCCCATTAAAAATTTAATAATTTTA